TTTTCCTTAAAAAGTAACAAGGTAAATAATTTGTTCACTTAAATAATTTCACTTCCTTCCGTCCGTAGAAAGAATTCTCCTCCCGTAAGTTATCTAAACGTCATGAATGTGCCTTTCGTCAATCGTCAAGCGACGCGAAAGGTTATGACATCTTTGTTTTATTTTCAAATTACATTTTTTCGGCGCAGAAGCTAAGTTAAGCTTGGTTCAAAATATTTTTAAATAAACAGTATAATATCTGTTTTATTAAAATCAGTTTTGAAAAAATGAAAATTCACTTTTAAAAAGAATATCAAAGTAAGATTTTAATCTTTTTATCAAATCGAAAAAATGATTGAAAATGATTATCTGCCCTTTTTTGACCAAAAAAAATTTTTAACGAAAATTTCGGACGTTCTAGGAACGATTATAAAATGTAAAAAAATACCCCCAAAATACTTTGATCTTTCCTCTTTAATAATAATATGAACATTAGACGATAAAATTTTGTTTTCGTCAAGTTCGGCGTCTTTTTCATCATGCTATGCTCTTTTGTTTACATTTTCGTGGGTGAGTTCTCCCCCTTTCATTCTCACGATGTGTCTTAATCGTGTTTTCAAATTGATTTTATTAAAAACAACTGTATTTTTCCCATTTTCGGCGCAGTTAAAACCACCACAAGGTAATTTTATGTAGTCCTGTGAAATTTTGTTGAAATCGGCTCAAAAATATAGGAAATTCGATCCAACATATAAACGTTACAGACACACACACACAACCTGCGTTTTATAATGAGTAAGATATATATGTATACACACACACATTATATATATATATATATAAAATGTGTGTATATATATATATATATGTAAATAAAATAATCAAGAAAACCTTAAAGATTCATTTCGGTTATAATTTATTTCGTGAATATCTATATATTCATCTCTTCAGATCGAAATCTTTTAGTAAAAAAATATATTGAGCTCTCCCTGGATTAATATCCTCCTTGGAATTATCCCTACCAGTCACAAATTGTTTATATATATATATATATATATATATATATATATATATACACACAAATCTCTATATTTATGTCAGCTTTCTCCAATACCCTGGAAAATAGCAAATAAAATAAAATATAATCAGATAACATTGCCTTCCTTGTTTTCTAGTCGTGACCTGTATATTATGTCCGGTAAAACATCACTGTTAAAAATCTGTATGAATTCCCAAAACTTTTGAACACTGTTTCTCTTACGATATAATACAGGGTGTTTCAAAAAGAATACGCCAAAATCATCACGTGATGCGTCAAATACGAAAACCTCTCGCATGAACACATGTGTTGTATATACATTCAAGTTTCATTTCATGTTTTATAAGTGCTCAATGTGGCCACCACCGTCAGCGCGGACAACATCAAGCCGATATGAGAATTCCTCCCAAATGCGCCTCAGCATGTCACGGTCCACCGTGTTGATTGCAGCTGTTATTCGATTTTTCAAGTCATCGATACTTGCTGGATGTGCTCGAACATAAACTTGGTCTTTAACATACCCCCCACAAGAAAAAGTCACACACGTTGAGGTCTGGGGATCTGGCAGGCCAAGCACAGAGAGCAAGGTCTTTAGCACCTCTCCTCCCAATCCATCGCTGAGGCACGTTTTCATCCAGATAAGCTCTAACCCCGAGATGCCAATGGGGTGGTGATCTATCTTGCTGAAAAATTAAGTCCTCCCCACTTGCTCCTCTGTAACACGTGATCTTCCAGGACTCTTTCCTTTGCACAGGCACCCACTCTCTTTAAACCGTCTAACCCACCATCGAATGCTCTCATGATGGGGCGGATCAATGCCGAATTCTGTTCTGAAAGCACGATGCACCGTGACAATGGCGTTTGTTTTCACGAACTCAGGCACGCAAAACGCCTTCTGCTGAGGAGTCGCCATTTTGATTGATCTTCCCACAATTCAGCTGCACCGGAAGTTATACTAACGACAGCGGTGAAACTGACACCCAATCAAACTTTGATAACTACTCTATCAAATAACCACTGATTCAGTCCACTACAATGTTATAGACCTGAAAAAACAGCGTAATGATTTTGGCGTATTCTTTTTTAAACACCCTGTATATAGTGAATTTCCAAGCTTAGCTTAGATGTGACACAAGGCTGAATGAAGTGGGCACCGATATATATATATATAAGGAGGCTGTTAAAATTACTACAAAATCTTTTCGTTAAATTTAGGTATTCATCTTATTTTGCTTCTGAGGACAGGACGATAATTTTTCAACGCACGAACCCCCCCACCCCAGTGTCTGTGCGTGTATCAGAATTTCTATCGAGTTATACAGATTTCAACTTTGAAGCATTGCCGCCATAACCGCAGCTATTGAAGATAGAAAACGTACAGACTCGCGGTGAGCTGGCCCCCGGTAACCGCAACAGAAAGGCGCCACAAAAGACATAGAAAGAATAAACTAAAGTGGACCGATTGTCTCCTATGATATCGATCAACACCAAATACCACACGAGAGCTGCTGTCAGGCATTCTTGGTGACAAGATTTTCCAGTCGGACATTTTCACTGAATCAATGCGAAAGTAAGGACGAGAAGAGGCGGCGCCTTTATCTTGATTCTCCTTCCAATTACGAATCTTGTTTCTGTATTCGTCCGTCTCACTCAGGTCTCACTGACAGATGCAGAGACGTATTCTGCATCCACGTTTCGTGAACAAAAGCCGTGATGAGGATATAATGTTCCATTCAATGTATCTAATACAAAAATGTACCAACTTTATTTGGATTTATTCTTCTAAGAGGAAAATTTTGAAATCATTTTGTAAGCAAAGATCTGCGAAAATTAGATAATTCTGTATATTTTTTCAGAGGCTATTTAAAACTAAATGCTCAAAAATTGGTAAAAGCTATCAGTCTATTTTTTATGTCAGTAATTATCACATGAAATCCCAGCCAAGTGCAATGTTGATTTTCTATATAAAAAAAAAATGTTAAAAATATCAACCTTCCCAATGCGGCAGATAAAGCTCCATTCTGCATCCTTGTTTGTGAATCAAAGCAGGGATGAGGATAGAACTTTCTCGAGGACTGAATGCTTTCAGTGTAGTTTTCATTACGATATCCTGTTATTTTCGCAGCATTGCAATTCAAAGTTGTTTGCTCTCGTCACATAATATTCCGAATCTTGGTCTGATTTATGTTTGCCAAAAGTTGCGTGAAGCCACTTTCAAAATATTATCCCTTTAGTAACTTACTTGTCTCAGCTCAAGAAACAAAGAATTGTCACTCATTGTCTGCCATTTGACTTCGCTTAATCTGGTTAAAGATCTTTCTTGAAACACACAGGATCAAACATACAGTCGTTCTAATAATTCCAAAGAAAATGTTACTAATGCCTGTTTCCTCGGCTTACAATTCAGTATTTCTTTTTTTTTTCTCTCTTCGGTTGCTTGAACTAGAAAATGAGAGAGAGAGAAAGAGAGAGAAAGAGAGAAAGAGAGAGAGTGCCTTCCCCGAGGGCATTAGTGCGAAGTGAAGATAACTGATTTGGTTAAAATCTGAACATTACCCACTGAATACCCATTTTCTCACTGATAAGCCTCACGTTACCCATAGCCAGCATTCACATGCGCCGACATTTTTTTGTTTGCCTGGATTGTGTTAAGATTCCAATTTCAACACAAGTTTGTGATTACAAAGGAGTTCATCATGCACATCTTATTTCTGCAAGACTATGAAAATGGAGTAATTCCTGTAAAATCAAATGAAAATAAAATTAATGCTAACACACATATATATATATATATATATATATATATATGTGTGTATTACTTTTATAACAGTGTGAATTGTTTTTGTGTAGGGTCTTACATCTTTTCTTCCCTAGCTATGGGTTAAATAGCAAAGTAGACTTAGCTCACTGGAGTTGCTTGACGGTCAATCTAGAATATCAATTCTGAATTTAATACCCAGGAGATAATAATGGAAAAAAAAAATCACTTCACTATCTTTCCCATGAAAGTGTGTCAATTCACGGATAAAAAAAAAGAAAAAAAATCAGTGGCGAGCCAGAGTTATTTACGTTCTGAGGAGATATGACATTACAAACAAAGAAAAACTCTGAATGATTGGTAAAAGAATTTTATATACTGTTCACTAACACCGCAAGTTTGATCCTCACACGATTATCAAATATTATGACGTTATGAGAGACATAGATATACTTAGTAGCAAATGTGTGCACGTCTCGGTTTTTAAAAATAATTTAACATACATAAGGCAAGAAAGGAAGAATCTGCAATGTTATTGGTCCCGACCAGCCATCTCGGCTACAATCAGTTTCTTACCGCTGTAACATAGCTTCCCTGTACCTTTTCTGTAAATATTTTCACGGCAATTTTTCTCATGAGGTTTCCACTTCACGAATTTAAATGCAGCCAAGTCTTATTATTTTACTGTTGAAATCAGATCCCACCGCACCAAACAATTAATAAAACAGCCTTTCCTTATTAAGACTCTCGAATGGGCAGGCAGATAGACATGATTCACACTGCTTAAAAAATGGCATCTTAAAAATGAGTATCCACAAAATAAGTCTTGCAATAGTAAGATATATATATATATATATATATATATATATATATATATATATATATATAAACTGTTGAAGATTACATATGCAGAAGAAGAAGAATAAAGTTATGTAAAAAAAGGGCCTGAAAAAAACCCACGTCTAATTTATAAATCTGGGAAGGCAAAATAAATAAATATGATAAAAAAGTAAAACAAATAAATATATAGATGCTAATAATCAATAAGTTCTTCAAACCTTCCGTGAAAATATAATTGTGTATGCGTTGGGTGGGTGTAAGCGATCGTAGTTTTTTTTTTTTTTTCGATTCCGTCACTACACGTATATGTGGGAGTTAGTAGATGGATTGAATGCGCATGCGTGTCAGCACGCATCCCCCCCCACGCCATTATTTCTGTTGCTGCTATGAAATGTTGAAGGCGTCAGCATCAGAGAAGAAAGAGGCAACAGTAGACCTCGAAATGAACGCATGTAGAGTCCTTGGCGCTGTCAAGGCCAGCCTCACGTACACACGAACACAGCACGGTGATTGATTAAGACATATTGAGAAAGAAATGGGTTCAGTGTTGGGATCAGGGTCGAAGAGTAACGGATTGAGAGAAAACAGGAGATAGGGAGAGAGAGAGGGAGAGAGAGAGAGAGAGTATAAAAAAAAAAGAGAAGAGAAGATAAAGAGAACAAGAAAGTACCCGGAAGATAGGAAAAAGAACAGAGAAATGGGTTTTTTGAATTTAAAATAAAAAAGGAATGAGGAAAAAAAGGGAGAATGGTAAAGAAAGGAGATGAAGAAAGTTAACCGGGAGAAATTAGGAAATAAAGGGAAAAGAAAGATACACAAAATGGAAGACTAAAAAAAAAAAAAAAAAGGAAAGAAAAAATGCAAAAGTTAAGGGAACAGAAAATAAAGCAAAAAGAGAGAGCAAAGTCGAAGAGATACAATGAAAGAGAGAGAAAGGTAGGGATGATAGAAAAGGAAGGAAAAGCGAAAAAAAGAGAGGGTGAGAAATCAGAAAAGACGAGGGAAGTGGTAGAGAGAGAGAGAGAGAGAGAGAGAGAGAGAGAGAGAAGTTCAGTAAAAGAGTTTTGTAATTCTCTGAAGGAAAGAAAGGGAATAAAACGGAAAAGAAAGAAAAAACAAACGAACTAACAAAGAACATATGTCTCAGGGAAGGGAGAGGAGAGAGAGAGAAGGGGAAGAGAGGAAAGATCACAAAGGGAGAGAGAGAGAGAGGGGGGAAAGATCACACAGAGAGAGAGAGAGGGGGGAAGATCACAGAGAGAGAGAGGGGGGAAGATCAGAGAGAGAGAGAGAGGGGAAGATCACAGAGAGAGAGAGAGAGAGGGGGAAGATCACAGAGAGAGAGAGGGGAAAGATCACAGAGAGAGAGAGAGGGGGGAAAGATCACACAGAGAGAGAGAGAGAGAGGGGAAGATCACAGAGAGAGAGAGGGGGAAGATCACAGAGAGAGAGAGAGAGGGGAAGATCACAGAGAGAGAGGGGGAAGATCACAGAGAGAGAGAGAGAGAGAGGGGAAGATCACAGAGAGAGAGGGGGAAGATCACAGAGAGAGAGAGAGAGAGAGAGAGGAAAGATCACACAGACAGAGGGAGAGAGAGGAAAGATCACAGACAGAGAGAGAGGGGGAAGTGGCGACATCTAAGACAAATAAATTAAAAGTCTAAAGAAAATGTATAAGCAATATCAGAAAGAAAAAAGGAGAGTAAGTGATGTGGGAATCTGGGAAAGAGAGAAGCAAAAGTAAGATGGAGGAATAGTAGTTAAATAGAATTGAAAACTATGGCGTTGTGTCAGAGAATCCAAATGGGAAGAAAGTAAACGAAACGAAGAAATAATGTCATCAATAAATAAGCTATTCCCGAAAGAGAAACGCACACGATGAGAGAGAGAGAGAGAGAGAGAGAGAGAGAGAGAGGAATTGATAATATGGCACTCGCAGCAAGTGTTGTTGCGGAATGAAGGAAACGGGGGGACAAGAACATCGATAGGAAACAAAGTGCAAAAGGAACTGAATAAGATTGGCGCATGCGCACACCTTTATCCTTTCTTCAACATCTGACTGAGTCTCCGTCAACGTCGACGGCATGTGTACGTCTGTATAAGCATGCTTTCCTTTGGTGAATTGTTCATGTGTCTTTCTGTCTATAGGAATAGGACCAAGCAATGTGGCAGATTCAATTTACTATATGTGAGTGTGAGTGCTAAGAACAAATAAGAAGTTTTGTGTAGCGTGTAAGATATAATTTGCTGCTGCTATGAAAAATCCCCGTGGGAATACTGAGTTTCTCGTTCGCATTTGCTGAAGAGGTGACAAACGGACAGCTTTGTTCATCATAAAGCTATCGGAGATGAGAGAATTAGAGAAGAGACAAGAGAGAAGAAGTAGAAAAGAAAGAAAAAACGAAAAGAAAATAAAAGGAAAAAAAGGGGAGGAGAAGAGGAGAAAGGGAGGAGAAAGAGGAGAGAAAGGGGAGGAGAACAATGGACGCGAGGAGAAAGGGGAGGAGAAAGGGGAGGAGAGAAAGGGGAGGAGAGAAAGGGGAGGAGAGAAAGGGGAGGAGAGAAAGGGGAGGAGAGAAAGGGGAGGAGAGAAAGGAGGAGAGAAAGGGAGGAGAGAAAGGGAGGAGAGAAAGGGAGGAGAAGGGAGGGGAAAGGGGAGGAGAAGAGGAGAGAAAGGGGAGGAGAAGAGAGAAAGGGGAGGAGAAGAGGAGAGAAAGGGGAGGAGAAGAGAGAAATAAACAGAGAAGAAGAGAAAAAAGAGAAAAGTAACATCACAAAAGCATTCCCGGTAGTGCAATATTTGTATCATTTCACATTAACAGTGTTTCATCCGTTCGGCGTTCTCTTGAAATATTGCAATGTACTCGACATGACTTTCGGTAAATTAAACTGTTTTTGTTGCTTAAGACAAGCACGATATTTACCAAGCTAATCCGAGTGGGGCACATGCCCAAATATTGAGAACTGAAGGGAGAAAAATCAAATAAAATGGTATGCCGACCTTTAAAAATCAACATTCAAAACCTCGAATTTTACGTAGACTCCATCTCTAATCTCCCTAAAACATACACAAGTATTTCAACATGGAAGTTGGTCTATAAAGCAATGTCAATGTGAATCGATTAAGCATCGATCCTCACTGGGTAAACCATATTGTGGCCGTGAACCTTAAAAGCAAGTTGAGCTTATTAAACATAAAAAGAAATATTAATACCCGGATATTTCTTTAGCTTAATCTAGTCTGGCACAAGGTCCTGACACTGGAGAATACATTAAGAATCGATTTCACTAACAATACATTTCTGGGACAGCTTCATGAATTTAATTTTCAGCGTATACGGGAGATTTTCTTAACTCTTACGCAGTATCAATCCTCTTATATGGCAATGAATGAAGAATTTTCTCAGAGGAAGACGAGACAGGTGTGATTCTACAGAAGGATGCTGAAAATACCATGGGCAGAATATGTGAGCCTTTAAGAGAAAAAGGCGTACAACAATGACATTCTTTATATCAGAAAGTCATATTTGTAATTACTAGAATACATTATGAGGAAAAATGTTAACAAAAGCGGTCCTGACCAGCCATCTTGGCTTCAGTTAATTTCTAACCGCCGGAACGTAGTTCCCCTGTGCCTTTTCTATAATTATTTTCATGGCAATTTTTCTCATTAGGTTTCCATTTCAGTACCCCGACTTCACGAATTTAAATGCAGTACTAGATTGGTAGTCAGGTATAATCATTTTATTATTGAAATATCTAGGAGTGAAATGTTTAACAAAAAAGTATGAACTTAAAGTAATGGTAATATATGCTTATGACGAGAAATAGCAATTCAGAGCCCATTGCGCCAGAATATTAAGCAGGCAGCATTCTTATATGAAACTGTGGCAACACCTTCCTAAAAAAAAAAAGAATCTTTCATCTTCTGTCTACTTGGAACCTGTTCTTTTATCCTCCTCTCAATAACATTTTTTCTTTCAGTTTCAGTAAACCCGATGCGTCTTAGTGGCTTCATGGCCTTACAGGGACTGGGAGGGATAATGAGATAAACATTTTTTAAAGATATAAAAGGGAATGTTGTGAAGAGCCATGATCGTTACATAGAAGAACATGTTAAGCAACGCCGTGTGACAAATGCTCTAACCGAATAATTTTATAGCTTTTGCTTTCTAAGGTTAGCTTAGTTTGGAACCAGTGATTTCGAAGCCATAAAGAGAGAGAAGGAAGCAAAGGATGAAATATGAAAAAAAGAGAAAGTATTGTCTATAGGAGGAGGAGAAGAAGAAGAAAAGAAAAGAAATAAAGAAAAGAACAAGCGAAAAGAGAAGAGAAGAAGAAGAGGAGAAGAAGAAGAGAAGTGAAGAAGAGGTGAAGAAGAGAAGAAGAAGAAAAGAAGAAGGGAGAAGAAGAAAAGAAGAAGGGAGAAGAAGAAAAGAAGAAGGGAGAAGAAAAGAAGAGGAAACAATCAAAGAAGACGTAACAAACAAAGAAGACGTAACAAACAAAGAAAAAGAAAAAAGGAAAGAAAAATAGTAAAAAGGTGATGACTTGGTGTGGAAGAATCATTAAAAGAAAAGAGTTTATGAAAAAAAAAGGAGTAAAGAGCAAATTCAATAAAATAGATAAAAGTTTGGTAAAAAAAAAATGAAAAGAAAAAGAACGAAAAAAAAACTAAAACGAATCCGAGACAAAATCAGTAGAACAAGATAAAGAGGTGGGAAGGACACCTCACTATGGAGTAGTCGTTAACAAATTATCCAAACAGACTGACTTATTTAACGAGGTCGATTCACTGGGTGTTGTGCCAGACTGAAGTAAGCTTAAAGACCGACTTAAAAAAAGAAGAACAGAATTCTAAGAATAGAAAGTAAAAGAAAAGAAAAGAAAAAAAAACGAAAAAAAGAAAGAGAAATCCAAAAGATGGAAATCCCAAAAGATGAATAAAAGAAGCACGAGAAATAATCGGTTACTAAAGGATCAGGTGTTAATACGTCCTGAAATAGAATGGAAGAAATGAACAGATACGGGAATTATAATTGAAATATTCCAAGAAATTAATGTCGAACGGAAAGAAGAATGGTAAAATGGAAAACGTAAAAAGAGGGAATCGCCAGTTCAGTCAGTAAGTAAGGACTGATTGATTGGCAGTTTTGGAAGAAAAAAAAAACAACAAAAAAAAAAAACTCTTCCCTATTTATTTTTTTTAGTTTGTTTAAATATCACGTCCCTTCAGGAAGTTGGCAGTTCAGAGCTGAAGAAAAGAAAACCGTGATAAGCCATGATCGCCATGTCTTTTGGGGAAAGATACTGGAAGCGTTTTCTCTAAGGTGTGAATTTAAATTTGTCTTACTCCAAGACTAGTTGACCCTTAAAAGATAGAGCCCACTATTCCATCTCTCTCCCCTCGTAGGATGTGCGGGTGGTGTAATTGATAGCGTCTGGGAATTAGAAATCGGAGAGTCGAGTTCGAATTCCAGTCAGATTCGTTACATTCATTTACGCGCCAATACCCTTGTGAAAAGCATGAATCCATCTCTTCGAAGCTACAATAGTATGCCTTATATTTAGAAAAATCATTACATTTTTAAATTGTTAATGCAAGGATATTAGTGAGAAATTAACCGCAACAGGCTAAGGTGGAATTTGAACTCCGCCCTCTGATTCCACATTCGCCCCGATAACCATTCACCCTACGTACACTTGCCTAATAAAGAGAAAATAAAATAGTAGCCGCTGTCGTCGGTAAACGCGTTAATTATTTTGATAATAATTCGTTCTTATCTTAATTATTTTTCTTATCATTTATTTAGCAGAAAACAGAACAAAAACAAAAAAAAACAAAAACGATTTAATGCCTATTTTTTATGACAAGTTGGCCTTCCGCTTGGTATATTGGCAAAACTGTCTGTCTACTCCAGTTTCCATCATTTGTGTCTTGTACTGTAGTGAGTCATGTATCGATACTAATAAAAAAAAAGAATGATGAAAAGGAAGAGAGAAAAGTGAAGGACAATAAGAAGAAAGGAAAAAAACGAAAAGTAGGAGGAACACAGAGAGGGGAAGGAAGAAGTGAGAGCAAAAATAAAGTTAATATCAATGGCGAGAGAGAGAGAGAGAGAGAGAAAGAGGGGGTGAAACACACTATGCAAACTTACATTAATGAAAGGTGCATATAAAAAACAAAAATCCAGAAGTATAAGCAGTCAATTGCGAAATTGGGATGCTGAAGGTAACATCAATTACCTAAGTGTCAAACCTATATATATATATATATATATATATATATATATATATATATATATATATATATATATGGGCTGACAATTGCGTTCAGTATGAAACAGCCTGTCGCCTCTAAGTGTTAACTTCAATGTTCAATTTTATATTTACACACCTCTATCTCTGATAATGAGCACTTTATGCTATAAATATAGCACACCTTAAGATATATATATATATATATATTATATATATATATCAGGATATCAAAACAAAAACATGTTAAAAATCGCTGCACAATTACACTTATGTCTCTACACTACAAATGTGTCTCCTCCGGGCGATGTTAAACTACTGGCGAGTGAAAGATTAATTTTACCGCAGATATATATATATATATATATATATATATATATATATATATATATATATATATATATACGCACGCACCCACCCTACAACTGTTTATCATACCGAAAATTGGAAGTTTTGAAAGTGGAGGAATTTTATTTTCAGCAAGATGGAGTACCACCACACAACTATCGTGATGTATGATTGTAGCTGAATGAAATCTTGCCAAAACAGATGGATCTTTCTTGGAGGGATATTTAAAAGAAAAAGTCTACGGTACGAAGCCAGTAAGAACCGATAATTTCCATAGAGCAAGAATGAAGCCAAATGCCTATCGAAATGTTGATTACTGCTTGGGATTCCATTGCGTCGCTTCGCCAGCAATGTCTGAGTTATAACAGGCATCAATTTGAAAAGATGCAATGGCAAACTCTTAAGAGCGTGTATTTATAATAAATACTGTTTTTGATATAAATCATTTAAATTAGATATAGGTGATTCTAATTACTTGAATTATTACTTGAGTAAACTTAAAAATGTGTATACAGTTTTTAATGACACCTGGTATTAAATGATAATGGTTGATATTAGTAAAACATTATTCTGGATTCGCTATATTTCTACATCAGGACGTAATAGTAAATATTTTCAGTACGCCGACGCTTTTTCTTATACTGCAGCAGATTTTTATATTGCTGTTGTCTAGAGAGTATCAATTCTCTTTGGGTGTGTTCCAAGTACTCCATTGATGATGGATACATTTATCACCTTTCACGACTAGTGTAAGAGACTCGTTCCCCACTAAATCTATGATACGGGGCCGCCTACTCTATTACATATCATTTTTCATAATTAGGTTATAATAAAATTTGCATTTTATATAACTATCTTATGTACAATAATGGATCATTTGCGTTATCAGTGAACAATTCAACTAGAAACTTTGAAAATAAATATAATATCTAAATACAAAATAGAGACATGTTATAATTGATCATTCTATCTGAAATAAACCAACAATGTTTTGCGGCAATTTTTAACATCAACTTATGAATAGAAAAATAATGAATTTTATATAGAGTTTCCTTGCGACTTCGCATGGGCAAAACAAATTTAACTGATTTGGAAGAAGAAAAAAAAAGACGACCCCAGAATGACGTCAAAATCCGCGAAAACTTTTCATCCTTTAATAGTCAATTGTATTTAGTTCAAGTTGTGATGTATATAAATGTAGGT